ACACACACACACACACACACACACACACACAGAGGGCGACGGAGGAGGAGAGGGAGGAGGACGGAAGAGAAGGGAGAGACAGAAAGAGAGAGAGAGAGAGAGAGAGAGAGAGAGAGAGAGAGAGAGAGAAACTTTGCTGATGTTATAAAGTTCCAGTGTGTGAGCTGTGGAGGGTCCATGCATTCAGACCGTAGGAGGTGGCTCTGTCATGAAAGATGTAAGTGATTGGGATACTCACAGGCTGACTCAGAACTCCATCTGAACTACTCACAACTTGTAGATCATTTTATTTTATTTTATTTCTTTTTTGAGGATGAATGAGCCGGGGTGGAGTTCTAAACCTTTGAGGTATTGACATTCTGGGTTACAGGATGCCTTCTCAGTGGGATATGGACTGTTTGATCAGTTATAAGGTATTTAACAGCATCTCCGGCCAGCACCCATTAAAGACCTGAAGCATCTTCTCCATACCGCATCAGTTATAATACAATTTTACATGATGCTACATCTACCCTTGGTGGTAAGGGTACCCCATACTGAGAAATGTGTGTGTGTGGGGGGGGGGTGAGTAGGGTGTTGAAAAGAGAACAGTGGGAAGAAGTGGCTTGAAAAATCCATCTTTGAAAATTTGATCAAATTTTTTTCTCTCACAGAAAAAGCAAAATAGTATGTAAGAATTTTCTGTTGTTTTGTTTTCATAAATCCAGTTACTGTCACACTGGTTCTTGTGCAGTTGACAGTTGAGTAAACACGCTCACATCACAGTTACGTCTTCATTAAGATGTAGACAAAATTCCCGTAATTTTGATATTTTTTTAGCACTCGTGGTATTTAGAACAATTGTTAACTATCAAGACACTATTCCCTTCTTTGGTGTGGCCTAATTGATGTTGGCCCCTTGATTTTTGGTATCTCTTTCTAAGCATCCCAGTTACTAGATCCCTTACAGATATGGGCAAACACTATTTCTAATATTGCCAGTGGATTAGTCTACTATATACTGGCCCTGGTAGATGGTTGAAGATATGTACTCAATCTGCAAAAGCTGAAGCCTTTTCAAGAAAGGTGATGCTAATAGAAGGATAACTAAGCCATCCCTAGGTCCCAGTGTTTGTGTTTTGTAATCCTGCACATTAACGATGTCTATGGTTTGGTGTTGAATGCCCAAAGTTTGGCTATGAGTCTCAGCATCTGCTTTGATACCAAGCTGGGTAGAGTCTTTCAGAGGTCCTCTGTGGTAGGCTCCTGTCCTGTCTCCTGTTTTCTCCCTCTTCCAATGTCTATACCATTTGTGTTTTGAGTGAGGACTGAGCAATTTCCCTAGGGTCCTCCTTCTTGCTTAGCTTCTTTCGGAGTATAGATTTTAGAATGTTTATTCTATATTACATGACTAATATTTATTTACAAGTGAATATATACTGTGTGTGTGTGTGTGTGTGTGTGTGTGTGTGTGTGTGTGTCTTTCTGCTTCTGGGTTACCTTACTCAGGATGATTTTTTCCAGTTCCCACCTTTTGCCTGAAAATTTCATGATTTCCTTGTTCTTAATTACTGAGTAGTATTCCATTACATAAATGTACCACAATTTCTGTATCCATTCCTCAATTGAGGGACATCTGGCTAGATTTTGGCTATTACAAATAAAGCTGCTACGAACATGGTTGAGCAAATGTCCTTGTTGTATACTTGGGCATATTTTGTATATATGTCTAGTATTGGTATAGCTGGATCTTGAGGCAGCACTATTCCTGATTGTCTGTGAAAGCGCCAGATTCATATCCAAAGAGGTTGTACAAGTTTATATTCTCACCAGCAATGGAGGAGGGTTCCCCTTTTTCCACATCCTCTCCAGCATGTGTTGTCACTTGAGTTTTTGATCTTAGCCTTTCTGATGGGTGTTTCAGGGTCATTTTGATTTGTATTTTTCTGATGACTAAGGATGTTGAACATTTCTTTAAGTGTTTCTCTGCCATTCAATATTCCTCTATTGAGAATTCTCTGTTTAGCTCTGTACCCCACTTTTTAATTGAATTACTTGATTTGTTGGTATTTAACTTTTTGAGTTCTTTATATATTCTGGATATTAGCCCTCTGTCAGATGTAGGGTTGGTGAAGATCCTTTCCCAGTCTGTAGGCTGTTGTTTTTGACCCCTAGCCAAACTTTGGGCAGAGTGCAGGAAATCTTATAAAAGAAGGGGGAGATAGAAAGACCTGGAGGGGACAGGAGCTCAACAAGGACAGCAATAGAACCAAAATATCTGGGCAAAGGGGTCTTTTCTGAGACTGATACTGCAACCAAGGACCATGCATGTAGATAACATAGAACCCCTGCACAGATGTAGTCCATGGCAGCTCAGTCTCTAAGTGGGTTCCTTAGTAATTGGAACAAGGCCTGTCTCTGACATGAACTCAGTAGGTAGCTCTTTGATCACCCTTTCCCCCCAGAGGGGTAGCAGCCTTATCAGGCCACAGAGGAAGACCTGATAGGCTAGGGTCAGAGGGAAGGGGAGGAGGACCTCCCCTATCAGAGGACTTGGGAGAGGCATGGGAGGAGATGAGGGAGGAAGCATGGGATTGGTAGGGGTAAAGGGAGGGGGCTACAGCTGAGATACAAAGTAAATAAACTGTAATTAATAAAAAGATAAATAAATTAAATTAGAAAAAAAACCCTCAATGCCCATGTCCAGGATTAATTTATCAGTCAAGTGAAAATTAACATTCCGATGATAATAAATTAGAAAACTACAATGATTGGGTGAAACTTATAAAGTTTATCTGACAGCTCCTCCTCTGCCACCAGTTCTTCCTGCTCCTGGTGACACTCACATTACTGAGTACCATGCAACCACAAGATGAAATTAACTTTGTCCACACATTTTGTTTTAAGAAACAGTCTATATGTCTACCAACTTTTTTTTTTAATAAACACTAATTTCTTCTTTCTTCTTTGTAAAAAAATGGAGCTTGACGTCAGTGATCTCAGATTTCCCTACTCTCCAGTCTGGAGTCATGGAGAAAGACAGTCCAGCTGTTTTTGAGAAGTTTGTCTTTAAGGAAAATCTTTGTTTTGAGATGGTCTTTGGTAAAGGTTATAAGTTCATTAAAGCCTAACTGCTAAAAGATCAAGTCATTTCGAACCCAGCCACAGCTCTTACAAAGGCAATTACTATGTATATCTCTAGCCAGATAGAGCCTTAGGTAGAGCAGAAAAGTGAACCAGTTGAAATTGTAAGCCATAGAACACTTTAGAAACCTAATAGAGGAAAGAAAAAGAAAAAAATACAGTTCTGCTGAGAGTGTTCGGTTGGGAAACCGATGAGGAATTTGGAAATACCACCTGAGACTAGGACAAGAAAATTTGATTTAGAGAAACCTGCAGTCACCAAGTTGTCGTGTGTGTGACTGGCTGGTAGACACTCTGAGGAAGGCGTAGGCTATGCACAATTACTAAAGGGCCAAAGTAAAACTCGGCTAGTAAATTTATCTTTTCTTCTTACAGGATGTTACTCAAGCAACTGAGTTTTTTGTTGTTGTTGTTTGTTTGTTTGTTTTTTAATATAGCTGTGCATTTTAGTGAGTAATAAGGGTTAGAAGGAAACTGTAGTGTATAACTAATCCCCATCTAGGGATGAAGTTTTCTTATGCGAAACTTCTTTGTATTATTGCATCCAAATTATCGGCCAGACTGTGTGCTGGCCTATGTCCAAGAGTAATCTAAGCTCGGTGGAAGGGCTCCAGGTGGGTTCAACAGGAACCACAGCCCAGCCTGTTCTGCAATTGAATTTTCAAGCTTCAAATTCCACACACATTTGCGGTGCCGGTGTGACAGCAATCCAGTAACCATGGTAAGGGTTTTCCTCTCTAAACAGGTTTTTACTGGTTGCTTGTCCCTGTTTACATTCCACTAGAAACTTTCAATCAGTAGAGCTGACTAGTCCCTTTTGCTATGGAAGTAGTCCCCGGTATATTAATCTGGATATTTTGGGTTAGCTTTTTGATGATAGCAATCTCAGCCCAGCCGGTGAGCCTCAGGGTCGCAAAGAGTGCTTATTCAGTCCTTTTCCAGCTCTTAAGGGTAATTGAATATTCTTGTCCTTCCACAGTCCTTAACCATCCCATCCCCCAAGAGTTTCTCTCATCATTTGTAATATCCCTTCCTGCCACGTTTAGAGGTAGCACACATCAATAACCCAGAAGTTAGAACACCAGCCCAGACAGAACCTTGGGCACAGGGGCTTCCAAACCTCCCCCAAATCTAGCCTGGAGGTTCCTGCAGCGCTGCCAAGCGGACCCAGTTCAAGCTCCTGCGCGCCTTGCGGAGCCCCTGCTGAGCAGGATTAGGCCCGGACTGCTCCAGCCTTCCCCAGGCCCTCGCCTTTCCCTGCTGAGCCCCGCTCGGGCCCCCAAGTCAGCGACGCGGTCCTCTTCCTACCCTAAGACTCCGCCTCCGCCCCGCCCACGGGCACGCCCCTCCGCATCAGGCTCCGCCCCCGCCCTCCGGTCCGCGTCGCCTTTCCTCGCCCTGCCCGGGCCAGGCAGCCACCGCGAGCTCGGCCGAGAGCGTGGCCCCGGTGGCCTCGGGCCTTGGGTCACCGGCGCGCCCAGGAGGGCAGCGCTTCGACAACGCCCGCCGCCCGCGGGCTGCCTCTCGGCGGCCGAGCCTTCGTCGCAAGCGCCCGGCGTTCCTCCGGGGCGGGCGTGTCTGGGCTCCGAGCATCCTCCCGGAGACCCGGCCCTGCTGACCCTCGGCACCGAGACCGGACGGTGGGGCCGGAGAAGCCACGCGCGCGAGGCAGCCCTCCCCTCCCCCGGGAGGTCCCGGCGCCGGCGAGGACCCCCTCCCGCCCCGCAGCACCCGGGAGACGGCCGCGCCGGGGGAGCCCGCGCCGGGAGACGCCCACGCCCGGAGAGCCCGCGCCCGGGGAGCCCGCCCGGCGGATGCCCCCGAGTTCCCGGTCACCCGCCGCCGGGGGCGCTCGGAGCCCCTGGGGTCCGCAGGCCCGCCCCCGGAGGACCGCGGTTTCTGGAACTCCCTTCCTTCGCCTGGGTTGGGGCCCAGCCCAGCCTCCAACGCTGTGAGGTAAGCCCACTTGGCCACTGAGAGGGCTCTGGTCCCCAAATATCGCAGCCGACCGTCAAGAAGTGTGTGTGTGTCGGGGGAGGGGGGCGGTAGTCGAGCAGAAGAGCGTTGAGTTCTGAAGTCAGAAAATGAAATATGCAACAGGCGGGGCAGGCTAGGAAACTACTAGGAGTGTTTGTTTCCTCCGGAAAAAGGGACTTGTCTTAGACGGAAACTTAGTGAGGTTCTTCCAGATCCAAGATGGGCAAAGCAGAGGCCTCCTCCTTAAACCTGGGACTAAGCTCCCTCTGGTGGCTCCTGATGAGGATGTTACAGGCAGCTACAGGTGAACAGTTGAGTCAACGTTGCCTTCTCTCTGCCTCCTGCACTGGGCACTGGGATTTGTCCTCAGAAAAGCGACTTGTCTTGTGAAGAGACTTTTCTGTTCCTTAAAATCTAAACTGTAAGCCATAATTTTAAAGGGTCGTTTTGACTGTTACCTCTCGTAACCGAAATAACAAGAATATCTTGTTCATTTTTTATGCTGATGACATGTGAATAGAAATATGTTTAAGTAGCTAGAGCAAACACAAAAAGATATGAAACGTATCTTGTGTTGTTTCTTCTCTGCTAATATTAACTGGGATCTAAATATGTATGAAAACTTAAGAAAAAAAAAGCCCTAGAGAAAAGTTAGATCGCAAATAATACCAGCTGTTACTATGATCCTCACATTTTGTAAATGAGTAACCTATTTAAATCATCAGTTCATCTCTAGTTGTAGCCTTAGAAATTTTCTTTGTTTTGTTTTCCTCCCAGAGAGGAGTGACACGAAAAAGGAAGAGGAAATAGACTTCAGTGTTGCTGAAAGTGGAATTATTTTCCTCAGTTGTTGGGATATTTTCATGATTGCAAGAAGAGCACCAAGAGACTGACAACGCCAGATGCTTTCAGAGGTACAGATAGACTTGATGAAAGAAGATTTGTAAAGATTTTAGAAAGAAGTTTGAAGTGAAGGCAGAAATTTTGATCTTATTTGTCCACCATGTAGGACTTTGACCACTTGTTCAGAATATTTTTCTCCCCAAAATGGAAGAACTATTATACTTGACAAACCATTATGCTTGAGGCTCTATGAGAACTAATAATGAAGTCTGCCAGCTCTGAGAATGACAATACTTTATCATCTTCTTTTGGAGAACAGACAGAAACGTACCGTGTGTGTGGTTAATCTAATCACTAAGAATGGTTTCTTGTTCTATATGCTAAAAATGACTTCATTTGAATTTTGGAATTTTTTTTTGTTTTCTCTTTTCACATGACCTTTCATGATAATTAGATTTACATAAAGAGAATAAATGCTCGATTCATTGTATTTTCTGACTACACTGATGTTTTCTGTGCATTATGGAGATTTTGGAGGCATTACTATTCTTTGAAGTTTTGTTTTATTGGAAGCAAAACTGTGCCAGGGACACAGACGTGCTATATAATTTTCTCTTTATAGCAACTTTCCTGGCCTTGGATGAGCTGACTGTCCCCTGGATTTCACAGCCTATGAGGTATAAAGTCTGTTTTATCTAGATCTTTAACTTATGACTCATAGTAACCAGATGGGAAACACATTAAACACTGTGCTCAACACGCATGCCTAAGGAAAAGATCTTCCCCATGGATCATGGCGTTAATGTTTACAGGACATTTCCTATTTTTAACCTTGATGATGTGTAGTTTTTCTACTTGTGAAGAATCTGTGAGCAATTATTCTGAATGGGCAGTTTTCACAGATGATATGCAATGGTTTAAGACACAGAAAGTACAAGATCTCCAACCGAACCAAAAACTTCATCCAAGTTTGTATTTTGATGCTGGAGATATACAGACACTGAAACAAAAATCTCGTACAAGCCATTTGCATCTTTTTAGAGCTATCAAAAGTGCAGTGACGATTATGCTGTCCAACCCAGCATACTACCTACCTCCACCCAAGCATGCTGATTTTGCTGCCAAGTGGAATGAAATATATGGTAATAACCTTCCTCCTTTAGCATTGTATTGCTTATTATGTCCAGAAGACAAAGTTGCCTTTGAATTTGTCATGGAGTACATGGACAGGATGGTTAGCTACAAAGACTGGCTGGTTGAGAATGCACCAGGGGATGAGGTCCCAGTTGGCCATTCTTTAACAGGCTTTGCCACTGCCTTCGACTTTTTATATAATCTGTTAGGTAATCATAGAAAACAGAAATACCTAGAGAAAATATGGATCGTTACTGAGGAAATGTATGAATATTCCAAGATTCGTTCATGGGGCAAGCAACTTCTTCATAACCATCAAGCTACAAACATGGTGGCGTTACTCATAGGGGCCTTGGTTACTGGAGTAGATAAAGGATCTAAAGCATACATATGGAAACAAGTTGTTGTTGATGTGATGGAAAAGACTATGTTTCTTTTGAACCATATTGTAGATGGCTCTTTAGATGAAGGTGTGGCCTATGGAAGCTATACGTCCAAATCAGTTACTCAATATGTTTTCTTGGCCCAACGCCATTTTAACATCAACAACTTGGATAATAACTGGTTAAAAATGCACTTTTGGTTTTATTATGCTACACTTTTGCCAGGCTATCAGAGAACCGTAGGCATAGCAGATTCCAATTATAATTGGTTTTATGGTCCAGAGAGCCAGCTAGTTTTCCTGGATAAGTTTGTTTTAAGGAATGGAGCTGGAAATTGGTTAGCTCAGCAAATTAGAAAGCATCGACCTAAGGATGGGCCCATGGTCCCTTCCACTGCGCAGAGGTGGAGCACCCTTCATACTGAATACATTTGGTATGACCCAAAGCTCACTCCACAGCCCCCCGCTGACTTTGGCACTGCAAGAATGCACACATTTCCTAACTGGGGTGTTGTGACCTACGGAGGTGGGTTACCAAACACACAGACCAATACCTTTGTGTCTTTTAAATCTGGGAAACTAGGGGGACGAGCTGTGTATGACATAGTCCACTTTCAGCCCTACTCCTGGATTGATGGATGGAGAAGCTTTAATCCAGGACATGAACATCCAGATCAAAATTCATTTACTTTTGCCCCCAATGGGCAAGTATTTGTTTCCGAGGCTCTTTATGGACCGAAGCTGAGCCACCTTAACAATGTCTTGGTGTTTGCCCCGTCACCGTCTAGCCAGTGTAATCAGCCCTGGGAAGGTCAACTGGGAGAATGCACACAGTGGCTCAGGTGGACTGGTGAAGAGGTTGGTGATGCAGCTGGGGAAGTTGTTACTGCCTCTCAACACGGAGAAAGGATGTTTGTGAGCGGGGAAGCAGTGTCTGCCTATTCCTCAGCAATGAGACTGAAAAGTGTCTATCGTGCTTTGCTTCTTTTAAATTCTCAGACGCTGCTTGTTGTTGATCATATTGAAAGGCAGGAAGCTTCCCCAATAAATTCTGTCAGTGCCTTCTTTCATAATTTGGACATTGATTTTAAATACATCCCATACAGGTTTATGAATAGGTATAATGGGGCCATGATGGATGTGTGGGATGCACACTATAAAATGTTTTGGTTTGATCACCATGGCAACAGTCCTGTGGCTAATATACAGGAAGCAGAACAGGCTGCTGAATTTAAGAAAAGGTGGACCCAGTTTGTTAATGTTACATTTCCTATGGAATCCACAATTACAAGAATTGCTTACATATTTTATGGTCCGTATGTCAATGTTTCCAGCTGCAGATTTACTGACAGTTCCAGTTCTGGACTTCAGATTTCTCTAAATGTCAACAATACTGAACATAGTGTTTCTGTTGTCACTGACTACCAAAACCTGAAAAGCAGATTTAACTACCTGGGATTTGGTGGTTTTGCTAGCGTGGCTAATCAAGACCATATAACCCGATTTGGTTTGGGCACTCAAGCAATAGCAAACACTGTAAGACATGACAGAGTTGTTTTCCCCTTCGGGTTTAAATTTAATGTAGCAGTTGGATTCATTTTATGTATTGGTTTGGTTATTTTAGCTTTTCGGTGGCGGTTTTACCTCTCCTTTAAGAAGCTGATGCGCTGTGTATTAATGCTTGTTATCGCCTTGTGGTTTATTGAGCTCCTGGATGTGTGGAGCAAATGCACTCAGCCCATCTGTGCGAAATGGACAAGGGCTAAAGCCAAGGCAAACGAGAAGGCCATGATATCTGAAGGGCCTCCTGGGGACCTCCCTGCTGTTGTCATAACCTCACTCCCTGCTTCAGGAGCTGAAATTCTCAAACAGCTTTTCTTCAACAGCAGTGATTTCCTCTACATCAGAATTCCTACAGCCCACATGAATATCCCTGAAACTGAATTTGAACTTGACTCATTTGTCGATGCTTGTGAGTGGAAAGTCTCAGATATCCACAGTGGGCACTTTCGGCTTCTTCGGGGGTGGCTGCTGTCTTTGGTCCAGGACACAAAACTTCACTTGCAGAACATCCATCTACATGAATCCAGTCGAAATAAAGTGGCCCAGTATTTTACAGCTAATAAGGACAGAAAACGAAAATTGAGAAGGAGGGAGTCTTTGCAAGAACAAGGAAGTAGAATGAAAGGGACTTTTGACAGAGATGCTGAATACATACGGGCTTTGAGGAGACACCTGGTTTATTACCCAAATGCCCGTCCTGTGCTCAGCTTAAGTAGTGGTATCTGGACATTGAAACTTCACTTTTTTCAGGAAGTTTTAGGAACTTCATTGCGGGCATTGTACATAGTAAGAGACCCTCGAGCTTGGATCTATTCAATGCTATATGGTAGCAAACCAAGTCTTTATTCTTTGAAGAATGTGCCAGAGCACTTAGCAAAGCTGTTTAAAATAGAGGAAGGTAAAAGCAAATGTAACGTGAATTCAGGCTATGCTTTTGAGTATGAATCACTAAAGAAAGCATTAGAAACATCCCAATCAAATACTGTCTCCTTATTATCTCATCTGTGGCTAGCAAACACTGCAGCAGCCTTGAGAATAAATACAGATTTGCTGCCTACCAGCTACCATCTGGTCAAGTTTGAAGATATTGTTCATTTTCCTCAGAAGACTACTGAAAGGATTTTTGCTTTTCTTGGAATTCCTTTGTCTCCTGCCAGTTTAAACCAAATATTGTTTGCTACATCCACAAACCTTTTTTATCTTCCTTATGAGGGAGAAATATCACCATCTAATACTAATATTTGGAAAAAAAACTTGCCTAGAGATGAAATTAAGCTAATTGAAAACATCTGCTGGACACTGATGGATCGTCTAGGATATCCAAAGTTTATGGACTAAATGCTGCAGGTCAGCAAAAATTTGCACTAATGTGTCCCAACCTACTTTGTGGATATGAACTAGAAAAACTTTGTTTATTCTTGTACATGTGTGTATGTGTGTAGAGAGAGAGTGTGTATGTATGTGTATGTGTGTGTGTTCAGTCTGTTATTTGCACAGAGAGATATTTTAAATAGGCACCATATTTGGCCTAGCAGGATGTATTTTTTATGTTACCACTTTCCTTGCCTTGGTTTCTGAATTTTTTTCTGCTAAAATGTTTCTGCTACAGAGGTATATATTATGGGGGCCTGGGAATATGGGAAGCTTTTAATGGATTTTAACTCCCCTTTGGAAATTGTTAATCTATCTCGGGACCTCAAACACTACAAAAGGCCTTGCAACTGCTGCTTTATCTAGTCATCTCTTGTTCTTAAGATGGACTACAAATTTTCGTTATGTTTTGAGAAGGTCTGACACTTATCTTGCACAAAGAAAAAGAAATAAAAAAGAAAAAAAGTTATTTTGTGTAATGTTCAGTGAAATCACTGGGAAATGAGAAAAGTTCCTTCTAGAACTTTTAGAAAATATAGAGGAAAATATAGAATAAAGTTTTTTTTTTTCTTGCTTAAGAAATAAAGGCTGTGAACAATGCGTGATGAAATTTGGTGAACTGCTTTGAAAATGGTTCTTTCATATGTGCCTCCCTGAAGCTACACTGTTCACCGCCACACAAAGCCCACCCTATCTAGCCTTTTTGTCATTGTCAACAACAACAAAATCAGTAGTTTTTACTTACAAACTACTTGCTTTGAAAGTCCCAACATGCCTGTTTCTCCGATAATTAATTTGTGTTAAAGACTGACACAGACAATCAAATTTAGTTGTGTGGCATTACCAGTTTATGACTCAAAGCCACAGTAGTCTGCTGCCACTGGTTTTTTTTGGTGGGGGCGTTGGGGAGTGATGACTAGAAATAGAATAAAAAGCTGCCTGTTTTCTTCTGGGTAAATGTACAGGCTGCCAGTGTCTGCAAAAGTTGAAAGCAATTGAGAGATGATGTCAGAGGGATCTGTTCCCTTTACCATCTGCATCTTGTTATAAATGTAGTCAACATAAAATGTGGCTCATTTTACTTAGTTTCTCAAATCAAAAATGCTCTGCTATTATAAGCCAGTCGAGTAATTACAATGTGTTGGGTGAACATTATCAGGCAGCATTGAGATTTCATAATCTATGCAGATTGCAGGCTTTTCCTGATGTTTCAAACTACAGTTTCTTTAAGCTCTCTAACATTTGGAGTCTGTCACTCTGACCTAGATAAAGTGGTTTTTGTCTCAGTAGTTTGTTACTATGTCTAACTATTCCTCCGGAGTGATAAAGCTGAGGGTTTGTAACATTCCAACAGAGCTTAACTTGACTGTCACTTCTATTATGGCCTGAGTGGAGACTGCTCCATGTCTCCTGTTACTTGCTCTTCACATATGAGACTTGTAATCTTGCCTTCATGGTAAAATGAGTAGAATTTAATATATATGGAAGTCTTAAGTCTACATTTTTATTTTCAAGGAGGATTAATCTATCTCACTTTTGTCAACATGCATGTAAAATTGCTACATCGATGATAACACTATTTCCATTATTGGTCAGAGTCTCAGTGTTTGATTTCAATTCCCAGAATATAATCTTAAGTTAGATCAAATAGAAAAGCTCTGGGGTGGAAGAGCAGTACATCACACTAAGGTAAGATTTAGAAATGGTTACAGGCACAGAGAAAACATTGAAAGCTACTTCTGGCTTTCTTTAAATATTGTACAGACATGTACCCATGGGTGGAAGGTGGTCAATGGGTTATGTGGAGGAAAAGAGGAAGAAGAGGTTTAGAAAATAAAGAGTGAGTAATTTTAAGATGGGATATGGGAATGTTTTACCGATAAATCGCAATGGATCCCAGCTTTCTCCTTAACAGAGCAATACAGAACTAAACTTTCTTACCCCAGAGGAAATGTGAGACATCAGACCGTTTCATTATTTCCGTAAAGAAAATCTTCTGAAGAAGACCTTTCAAATGTCCTCAGAGAAGTATTGTATCCAGGAAAGGTATCAATTGAACTTGCCTGCATATGCCCACGCAGAACCCTGCTGCCTTACAGTTTGAGTACTTAAGGTGAGTGACACTCTTGGCACATCTTAGCTCTAAATACCCTCTGAACTTATTACCAACTTGCAAATGGAATTAACATTTTAATTGCTTGTGAAGAATAAGACCCTCTTAAAATATCCTATGTGTTAAAGCCATTCCTTTATCAATGTCCTCCAACTTAAGTCTGGTTGGTACAACTACTTGTTAAAAAACAGCGTTTGAATTTTGAGAAACTGCTATCAGATGACAATGTAAAGAAACTGGTAATGAAGTTTTCAGAACTTTCCAACACATATAGATTTACTCTAGATGAATAGAAAACAACCTCGTCCTAAAGCTAGAACTCATTTAGAGGTGAATTTTTTAAAGCCTGAGTGTTAAATTTGTGAATATGTTTAAATTTAATTTATCAAGAAGATACAATAACACATATATATTAAGATTAGATTCCACAAATAACACATTTGGTTTCTTCAGACAAGCAGAAAGATTTACTGCCTCCTAAGAAACAGGCCTTTTCAAATTTTAAGAAATGTAAGGTTCTGTTGAGTTATGCTTTGTAAATGTCTTCAAAGAAGCATCTACCTTCTCACATACTAGTATGCCTTAAACATTTCACATCATATCATGTTATAATTTCCACTGCCTGAGTAGCCATTCTTCGTTGAGGGACATCTAGGTTGTTTCCAGATTCTGGCAAATATGAATAAAGATGCTATGAACATAGTGGAGTAAATGTCCTTGCTGTATGGTGGAGCATCTTTCCGGTGTATGCCCAGGAGTGGTATAGCTGGATCTTAAGGTGGTAATATTCCTAATTGTCTGAGAAAGTGCCAGATTTTTCAATGATTAAGAAAAGTTTAGCCAATTTTGATGAGAACTGATAGACCAAGATCAGAAAGGAGAGGAGAACCTCCCCTATCAGTGGACTTGGGGAGTGGCATGCATGCAGAAAGGGGAGGGAGGGTGGGATCAGGAGGGGAGGAGGGAGGGGCTTATGGGGGGATACAAAATGAATAAAGTGTAATTAATAAAAAATTAAAAAAATACCACATGTTGTGGTATTTTTACACAATGGAATACTACTCAGCAATCAAAAAGGAGGAAATCATGAAATTTGCAGGCAAGTGGTGGGATCTAGAAAAGATCATTCTGAGTGAAGTATCCCAGAAGGAGAAAGACAAACTTGGTATATACTCGCTTATATAGACCTACAAGATATGATAAACATAATGAAATCTACACACCTAAAGAAGATAATCAAGAAAGTGGACACAGGCGAAGGTGATTAATCCTCATTTAGAAAGACAAATGGGATGTGCATTGAACTTATGACAGGAGTCTACCACAAAAGGCATCTGAAAGACTCTACCTAGCAGTGTTTCAAAGCAGACACTAAGACTCATAACCAAACCCTCGGCAGAGTGCAGGGAATCATATGAAAGAAGGGAAGTTAGTATGATATGGAAAGGATAGGAGCTCTACAAGGACCAAATATATCCGGGCACAGGGTCTTTTCTGAGACTGACACTCAACCAAGGACCATCTATGGATATAACCTAGAACTTCTGCTCGGATGTGGCCCGTGGTAGCTCAGTAACCAAGTAGTTTTCCAAAGTAAGGGGAACACGGACTATTTCTAACAGGATCTCAAGGGCAGGCTGTTTGACACCCTCCCCCCCCCAGGGGAGGAGCAGTCTGTTAGGCCACAGAGGAGGACTTTGCAGCCAGCCCTGAAGGTACCTGATAAAACAGGGTCAGATGAAAGGGGAGGAGGTCCTCCCCTATCAGTGGACTTGGAAAGGGGCAGGGAAGAGACCAGGGAGGGAGTGTGGGGTTGGGGAGGGAATGAGGGAGCGGGATACAGCTGGGTCACAGAGTTAACAAAATGTAACTAAAAAGAAAAATAAAATAAAAAAAAATTAAAAAAAAAAGAAAAGAAAAGTTTAGAAAAAAATATGACACCCATTTCTAAAGATGTGTAACATTCAAAACTACATGGAGACACTGTTGACAAAGTTGAACCATTTCTTGCTGGTTTGTGTTTCTGACTTGGATCTCCAGCTTGTCACAGAGATGCCCTTGCCCACTGTTTCTCTTTTCTCTGCCAGCCTTCTGCCCTGCTGTTTCCACTCTCCCCAGGTCTGATCTCCACCCTTCTTTCTGTCTGCACTGCCTCTCCCACACTGTCCCCTCTGCCTATTCATTCTATTTCCCCTTCTGAGTGAGATTTAATCATCTTCCCTTGGGTCCTCCTTGTTATCTTTTGAGGGTCTGTGCTTTGTAGTACGCTTATCCTGCACTATGTGGCTAAAACCTGCATATATGTGAGTACATACCATGTGTGTCTTTCGGGGTCTATGTTACCTCACTCAGGATGATCTTTTATAGGTCCATCCATTTGCCCGCAAATCTCATGTTTTCATGGTTTTTAATAGCTGAGTAGTATTCCATTGTGTAAATGTACTATAGTTTCCTTATCCATTCTTTGGTTGAGGGACATCTGGGTTGTTTCCAAATTCTGGGTACTACAGATAAAGCTGTTATGAACATAGTTGAACGAATATCCTTGCTGTATGGTGGAGCATCTTTTGGCTGTATGCTCAGGAGTGGTATAGCTGGATCTTGAGGTAAAGCTATTCCCAATTGTCTGAGAAAGCGCCAGATTGATTTCCAAAGTGGCTGTACAAGTTTGCACTCCCACCAGCAAGGGAGGAATGTTCCCCCTTCTCCACATCCTCACTAGCATGTGCTGTCACTTGAGTTTTTGATCTTAGCCATCCTGACAAGTGTAAGATGGAATCTTGGAGATATTTTGACTCGTGTTTCCCTGATGACTAAGGAAATTGTACATTTCTTTAAGTGGGTCTCAGCCATACCATATTCCTCTTTTGATAATTCTGTTTAGCCATGTGCCCCAGTTTTAATTGGGGTATTTTGTTTGTTGGTGTTTAATTTTTAGTTCTTTATATATTTTGGATATTAAACTTTTCTTTTTTGTTTCTTAATTTTTTATGTTAATAACAGTTCATTCACTTTGTATCCCAGATGTAGCCTTCTCCCCCATTCCCTTCCAACCCTACCTTTCCTCACTCATCTCCTCCCATGCTCCTCTCCAAGTCCACTGATAGGGGAGGTCCTCCTCCCTTTCCCTCTGACCCTAGCCTATCAGGTCTCATCAGGACTGGCTGCATTGTCTTCCTCTGTGGTCTGGTCAGGCTGCTTCCCCCTCAGGGGAAGATGATCAAAGAGCCAGCCACTGAGTTCATGTCACAGACAGTCCCTGTTCCCCTTACTAAGAAAACTCACTTGGATGCTGAGCTGCCATGGGCTACATCATCTGTGTGGGGGTTCTAGGTTATCTTCATGCATGGTCCTTG